AGAAAGAAAACAGAATTCCCCAAAAATTCCAGCACGGGGTAACCTACTCTTCCCTTTGAACTTTTTGTGTCAAATTCAGTAAGTAAATAAATAAATTGGGCCACTTCAAACATCTTTCAATAACAAACTTATGATGCAAAAGATGGAGAAGATTACTTAAGAATATCAAGTAGAAGGGTGGTTTAAAGCAATAAGTGGTTGGTTGTAAGGTCAATTAAAGGGACTTTCAGCTATGTTGGGGTTCCTAATGGAGATGTTGATGGATTAACCTATCTTGTTTGTATCCTTAAGCTATAGGCCATGGAAAGGAATTATTTTGTTATGATCATGATGAAGATACACAAGACAGTGCCTTCAGTTAGAGATTAGTTTGTATCCTTAAGAAAAGTTTTCATTTACATAATAATTCTCTATAGACGTTATCACCTCCTCTTAAAATGAAAATTTTTAGCAACGTTAAATATCATGAAACAAATATCCATTCAATCACATAGAGATGTCGTGAAAATTATTGCACATTACTTAATCATAAAACATGATATCAATCACGAGTTATTCAATTTCTTCCTAAAAAAATACTTTCGATATAACTTTGATGTTGCATCGATCACCAACATTTGTACCATATAGATTACAAGAGCTATAACGAGAAATATATAATATATATAGGCTTTGCTTAAAATAAAAAGCTTATTTATATACACTTATTTTCCTAATTTATCTTGTAATTCTATGGAAAATATAAGTTGGACCAAATAGTAATTTTGTATAATTATATTGTCACTTTTTCATGAAATTTTCATCAAAATTATTTAAATTTTATGCATGATGACATTGATGCTATGCAACTAACCCATACTTTTTGACCAAATTAGAGGTTACATGTGGATGGAAGTTAGATTTGAGCTCTCATAAACTTAGTCAAGAAAGAAAGGGAAATGTCTTTGCATAGAGGAGGAGAGAGAAAAGTGTATGAGAGAGAGAGTACAAGCAATGAAGATCTAACCTTAGTTATAAAATGAAGCAATCAAGAAATGAAGGGATGTATATTTTAACTCACATATTTATGTTATTTTAATTCATTTCGATTCTTATAGCTTTATGCCTTAATGAATTGTTTTAGCTGTTAATCCAGTTCATGATGTAAAGCCAATATTAGCCTTAGAATTCTTAGATGTAACACACTTTTGAAGTATAATTTAATTTAGCTTGCCAGAAAATTTGTTCTCTCTTTTTGTGGTTAGGTTGAGATTCATACCAATCTTTTGAAGAGGTTGAGATGGTTATCCAATTACTTTCCAGTTTTCTTATATTCTTTGTGATCTTCTTCCAAAACTCAAAAAAGCTAAAACATCACTGCATTAATTGGTATAATAGCTTTTATTGGTGATAGTGTAAGAGAAGCTCATACAATACAAATCTTACAACAATACTGATGCTTGAGAAGGTGATGCTTGCATTGGTTTAAGTAAACTCAAAATCTAGGTGTATGCACAATTCATTAACTTTGATTGCATAATTTATAAAATTTTAAATTTGGGATTTCTTATTTATTTATTTGCAAGTCATAGATACTTTTATGCAATCCAATTAGTTGTTTCTTTATAAAATTTTAAAGCCTTAAGCCAATTACTACAAAAAAGTAAGCATTTACTTCTTCTGATACGTCATAAAAAATATCTTGATCAGACATGAATCTAAATATGTATTTGAATTGGAAAATTTCAAAATTAAATTTGAGACCATCTGAACCTTGATTTCAGCAAACTTATAGTCAAATTGAACATCTCGATGAGATGAAATAAATGGCTCCAAAAGTGATCTGATATGAGTTTGAATGAGCCCAAGTCAAGGACCTGAAGCATAATTGAAAATTTCAAGATATAAATTGGATGACTAAATGATCTCTAAATGACATAGTTATAATCAAATTGAGCGGCTTAATAAGAAAAATCCAACAATTCCAAGATCTCTTAATTCTAACACCATTAAATAATTTAAATGCTAAACGAATGCTTTATAGTCAAGGAAATAAATATGAGATATATGATGGAGTGTTTTAGATTTTGGCTATATTTGTGAGTATGCCACTCTCAAATATCTATAAATGAGAGAGAGAGAGAGAGAGAGAGAGAGAGACTTTAAGGGTCTTGGAGCACCACCATCTCAATGGTCACCGAAGATCCTTACGGTTATTTGACCTATGTTGCTTGCTAATTATAAATTTGAACAACTGTTACCTGACTATGATCCTTGGACCACTGTTACACAACAACAGTTTATCCAACCTCCATCGCTTATTGGCAATGATCTTCGGACAATCGTCGCCAACTATGACCCTCGAATCACTATCACATGACCATATGGAAAAGCCTGCACCCGCATGGGCCCCTATAAGCGTGTTATCTACACACGTGACATCTGAGGATGTTGTGCGGGTCAAAAAATGAATTCAAGTTCAAATCTGATCCTTCTATATTGATAAAAAGGATTTGACACGGGTCAAACCGTTAAAAAAGTATACAGCCGCGGTGTCAACATCAAGGCTTTCAAGGCATACAACAAGGAAAATTCACTAATAAAGGCATCAAGCCGACATCAAACCCGATCCTCTGTCAGCAAGTAGACAGAGTTGGTAGGGTTCAACCAACAAAATGAATTGCCCACAAATACACTGATGATGGTCGTGTTGACAAAAAATCTCAACCGGAGGAGACCCAAAATATTTGAGAAAATGTCTCACAAATTTTCAAATAAAAAATTAAAATTTCAAAAATACCCAAACCTAAGATATTTAAAATGGAAATAAATTATCAAATAGTTAAAGCAAAATCCATCAACTCTTCGTAACTGTTTGTTGGAGTGGATAAATTTAAAAATCATTTCAACTCACAAAGAGTGAATATCTGTTTGAGAATGAAAATATCACTATGATTCATTATCAATCCATCTCTTGCCAGTAAAGACGTGACATATGTCATCTAACCAATAGTTTCAGTGCCAAATGGCACCATAGGTAAATAGTTATGATCGGGATCCTCTGAGCTAGGTGGTTTTGTCGTCAAATGACACCACTAAATTGAGATCATTATTAGAGTCCACATGTTTTTCATTGGCTTCAAATCCTTGAGATATGAATCAAAAGGATATAATCAATAATGCATAAAGTTCTTTATTAGCTAAGATGGATTCATATTTGTCCCATTAGACAAATATCTACCTAGGTCTACAAGATATCCTTGGACGAAGCAACCCATGTATGTCGAAAAGGATCCTTTTGTCAGGTTGGGTTGACTAGCTCCTCTGACTTAGTAGACTAGGGATTATGATCAATCGGGATGATGGAACCATGGGATCTTGATCGGGCTCATCATCACTTCCCCCACCATCCTCTTTGAGTGCAAGATGGTGAAATTTCTAATTTTAAATATGTCTCAAAAATTAAACCAATACTGCTACTATATGTCAGATACCACGTATCTTCACGTATTTGTTTGACAATTAGCCTTAATTGAAAGTTCTTTCTTATTATCGAAAGGGGTAATTAACTATAGGGGTTTGCGCCTATATGAAACATAAACTCAGATCATAAAGTCCTCACAAAATCAGGACGAAATCTCTGGGCAGTGTCTTATTCACAACCTAATCTGTCTTCTAAAAATTTACCTCTCTTCAACGACCCGAAGAAAGAAAGGGTCCGTGGAGAGACCGGGGCACGAATTTTTGGTGCCCGCAATTATATTTCAAATATTTAGATTACTCTTTCTTTTTTCTTATATATTTCTTGTTAATTGCATTACATTCTTATTTCTGTTATAGATGAACAAATATTAAAGAATGACTTCATCTTCATTAAATACAATGAAGGGTTATTTAAATACATGCTTACAGTTTTCTGATTAAATGACTGATCATTTAACAAAATAATTTAAACAAACTTTGTATATATGTTCATTATATATATTTATATAATAATGTTAAAACTTTGAAATTAATCTTTTTAATTTAATGTGTTTTCATGTTTTTTTCTTAATAGATTCCACATGAGGCCATCATAATGCTGTTGGCCACAAAGCAACTACTAGTAGTCCCTTTCTATGGTCATGGCTACAGGAAAAGGGTACCATGAAGAAAATATATGCTCATTTATGTACCTACTCTTCCCTTTAAGAACTTTTGGGTCAAAAAGATAAATAAAATAAATAAATTGGGCCATTTTAAAAATCTTTCAACAACAAATCTATGGAGCCAAGATGGAGAAGATTACTTAAAATATTAAGTTGGGTTTAAAGCAATAAGTGGTTAGTTGTTAGGTCAGTTAAAGGGACTTGTAGCTAGATTGGATTTCCTAATAGAGATGTTGATGGATTAACCTATCTTCATATCTAATTGTTTGTATCCTTAAGCATATTTTGTTAGTATTAGAGAGTGTGGATCAAAAGGAGATCATATTAGGCATAATGTAAGAATGATCAATTTTTACCGAGTTAAAATCTTGACGATTATCTACTAGTATCACAAGATATTTTCAACAATGTAACATTAGACTAAAGCTTCGTTTGAGACGATTTTTTTATTACTTCTTAAAATAGCTTTTTAATACAAAAATTAAAATTTTTTGTACTAGAAAACTATTTTGAGAAGCAATAAAAAAGCCATCTCATGCTCCGTTTGGGACGATTGCTTTTTAAAATAAACTTTTAGTACAAAAATTAGAACCCGAATATGACCTGTTTGTTAAACAGGTTGACTCCAAAATCAAATTTTTTAAGAGATTCGGGTCTGATTTTCGTGTCATGTAAAAAAGTTACACCCTAATTAAAACACATGTTTCTTCCATAAAATATTATGGAAGAGACATATTTTTTTAAATTAAATCAAAGCCGACATAACCTATTTGAGCAAGAATATTAAGTTCGAAAAACATTAAAAAAAAACAATTTCCTTATAATGAATAAACAAAAAATAAATTCTGGCAGTAGCAGATGAACATTAAATGAAAAAAAAAAAAGAATATCATTATTAGTGGATGAAATGTGTCATGCTTCCATATTCCGAAATTGATCATTCATAAGAAAGCTTGGTACACAATTAAGCGTAGAATTATCTGTTCTAGTTTGTGGAATAAGCACAAAGAAGCACCAAAGCTTTTTTTATGCAGAGGATGGGGAATATATTAATAATCAAGAATGGAAAAACAAGAACTACTATAAACAGGCAAAGCTGGCACGGGCTCGTAGTAAAGAACTATACAAATTAATGGAGAAAGGAAAGAAGACTCGGCTCCTCCAATTTAATCAATATATACAATGGCCGATTCACCGAGCAGTTCACCTGAAAAGGTGAGAACATCACACTATTAACTAAACTAACAACAATAAGAAAACGGAAACAGTTAAAATAAACTATTGCACTTTTGAAATAATGTAATGCAATGACATAATCCAACCTGTCTAGCAATCTGAAGGGCATCAGAAAGCACAGAACATGGTTTTATAGAAAAACAAGCAAATGAGTGTCTAATTAAAATCCAAATTGTAAGTTTTTTTTTGGGGTGATGAGGAACCGTCCGCTGCCATGCCTGGCTTCGCTAAGCGCGCTTGGCGGTCCGTAAACCCCGGCCGACCTACCGGGCCACCCACGCCACTGTACCCGCAGCCGGTGCTTTGGGGCCCCCACTGAATGGGTGACTGACACTCTAGGGAATCGAACTCGGGATGGGGGGTTCCCAATCGAGAACGCCCACTAACCGAGCTAAGCATCGGTGGGTCCAAATTGTAAGTCACCTGAACCTCGTACAGCCACACTACCTCGTACTAGCATCCTGGTCTCTCCTCATGATGAACATCTTAATGGCGATGCCCGATCCATGTATGCACAGCTCATCTGACAGTTTGAATTTCCTTCAACAACCTCTGTTGACTTTTTTTGTGAGTCACTTGCAGTAGATGATTGTTCTCAAGGAGAAGAACATTTTAATTAAAAAAAAAATGAAGACTGATCTTCCCTGTTTTTTGCCACAAACCTTCTCAGAATTGTTCATGTCAATCTAACAAGGGAAACTTAGATACATGCCATTTTATTTCTTGCTATTTACATATCTAACACCTAAAACTTCAATAGTACATTCCCATCACTCATATAAAATTTTAATATCAAACATATCACTCCTATATTTCATTATTATCACTCATACCACCCTACAAACTTTAATATTTCATTCCATGCACCCATTTCTGTTCTATGGGTGATATGCATGTAATATTAAAGTTTTAGGTGTTAGATATGTAATATCATGAAATAAAGTGGTATGTATGTAAATCCCCCATCTAACAATTGAAAATTCAACTTGTCAACTCCTTGGATTCATGATGTCGAGATTTACAGGGTGGTACATTTTGTTCTTTGATTGAAGACTTTGAAGAGTTAGCTGCTGTTGGACTACCGTTATTGGTCCTAGCACATTGGAGGTATTGTCCAGCAACCTTTTGATTGGGGTAGGGCATGATATAGGTTATGCATTGTTGATAAAAAAAATTTATATCATAATTTTGATTAGAGACAAAAATATCCCCTCAAAGTCTATAAATAAATCTCAACTCTGTTCATTTGCAAGATTATGAACTCCAAGATCGTAAAGAATTCCATGAGAGGATTGTCCTAATCATTCCCATTTAACCGTTACTCTCAGGTCATTAACCCCGTCCCCCTAGAAGAAATCCAATCTAGAAATCTACTAAAGATTCATGAAATTAGGACTGATTCCACGTTTATAATGGAGTTTCTGGCTTTAAGTATATTTGGTGAATTTTAGAATTTATGAACTTAAACTAATAATAATTGATTGACTATATTTTTATTTATGATTTTTAAAAGTTGCATAATCATTTCCTTGAAATTAATGTTTGTGGATTACCTTAAGTTGGTATTAAAATCCTTAAGAATTGTTGGGAGCAAGTGAATCTAATTTTGAGGGCATCTGGTGTTGGTAAGTGACACGATTATTTTATAGCATTAAGAGTTCCTTGTCTCTATATAAGATTAATATTATGTGTTAATGATATGATATTAAGTTATGTGATTAGCAACAGATAACCTCATAAGTAATTCATGTAATTCTATGACCTATACAATCTAATTATGATCCATATGATATTTATTGACTTGTCTCTACCATGCATACTCATTACTTAATATCTAAAGTTTTTGAATTGAGTAATATGATTAAAAGCTAATAACACATGAATATGAATTTTGAAACACCACTGATTAAGAATAAATTTTACTTTGAACAAACTTTTACTATTTACGTTACAATCATCAGCAGATATATAGTTCAATAGCATGAAGTGTTATGATAGAGTTAGCTCGAGCTTGTCCAACTAATTTTGTTTTGATCTATGTTGTGGGGACTAATTGCATCGGCGCTCCAATCGTATCGGTACTATTCGTTTGGTAATCGGAGATTGTTTAACCCTTCAAGTGACGCGTCATGCGTCAATCTCGCCTCATTTTATGTGTTTTTGCTTATAGGGGTCAACAATATAAAAAAAAGATAATAAATAAGAGGGTTTGTTATAAAAATTGATTTAGATGTAAGAACTCTGATAATTGAGAAAAATATAAAGAGACTTGTAATGAGTCTAACAAAGCAGTATGTGATGCAAAAATTTTAGTTTTTAATGATTTATATAATATATTAGATACTAAGAAGAGCGAAACATATACGTATAAATTAGTCAAACAAAGAGATAGGAGTAGCAAAGATTTATTCAAGTAAAGTGCATTAAAGATGAAAATAAAAAAATGCTTTTATTAGAAGAGAATATTCAACAAAGATAGATGAGATATTTTGATAAACTTTCAATGAAGTTTGTAAGAATACGATTTACTTTAGTGACCTTAGCATTCTAAATGAAAATAAAGATTTTTATTTTTATCGGTGTATTAGTAAAACTGATGTTACAGATACATTAAAGAAAATAAAGTATGAAAAAGTTGTTGGACCTGATGATATTTCAATAGAAGTGTGAAAATGCTTAGGAGATTGAAGAAATTTTTTTGGCTTACTAAACTTTTTAATATTATTTTGAAGACTAAAAAGATGTCAGATGAGTGGAGAATGAGCGTGTTGATTCATATTTTTAATTATAAAGGTGATGCACAAGATTATGCTAATTATAGAGGAATTAAGTTACTGTGCCATACTTTAAAACTATGGGAGAGTTATGGAGCATAGGTTACGTTGTTATACTAAAGTTTCTCAAAATCAATTTGGATAGGTCTACTATAAAAGCTATACATTTATTGAAAGGTTTGATGGAGAAGTATAGACAGAATAAGGAGTATCTTCATATGATATTTATTGATTTAGAGAAAGCATGTGATAAAGTTTCAAGAGAAGAGCAATGGAGAGTTCTAGAAAAGAGAGGGGTTAATAATGCTTATATTCAAGCCATTAAGGATATGTAAGCAGGAGTTGTTACTTGTGTTTAAACACAAGGTGGTTTGACCAAGTATTTTCCTATTTATGTTGGATTACACTAAGGATTAGCCTTAAGCCCATATCTTTTTGCTTTAGTCATAGATGTTCTCGCTAGACATTTGCAAGAGATTGTACTCTGATGTATGCTTTTTGCTGATGATATTCTTCTTGTTGATAAGATGAGAGAGGGAGTTGTTCAGAGTGATGGTGAAATAGATGGGGATATTATTAGTAGAATTCAAGTTGGATAGTTGAAGTGGAGGAATGCATCAGGCTTATTGTGTAATAGAAAGATCTCGCTCAAACTTTAGGGAAAATTTTATAAGATGGTGGTGAGACTTGCAATGCTTTATGGTGCAGAATGTTGGCCATTAAAAGAGAAGCATAATATTAAGTGTTGCAAAGAAGAGGATGCTCAAGTAGATGAGTGGCTTTACTCTTAGAGACAAGAAATTAAATCAGTATATATGTGAAAAGGCTGGAGTAGCTCTAATGCAAGATAAGATTAGAAAGAGTCGCCGTAGATGGTTGGGTCACATAAAATGGCAGCCTCCCAACGACTCGGTTAGGAAAGTAGATGTATTAGATTTGGCTTATGTTGAGAAAGGTAGAGGTAAACCTAAAAAGACTTGGTTAGAAAATATTAGAAATGATATTTCTTTATTAGATTTAAATGAGAATTTGACTCTTAACAGGACACAATGGAGAAAAAGGATCCATGTAGCCAACCCCACGTAGTGGGATAAAGGCTTGATGTTGTTGGTGTTGTATAAAGGCTCATAAAATTGAAAAAGATATAGAGGGACCCATAAGGAGTCTAAGAAAGCAATATGTGATGCAATAAATTTAATTTTTAATGATTTCTATAATAGATTAGATACTACGAAGAAGAAAAATGTATGTATAAGTTATCCAAACAAAGAGATAGGAGAAGTAAGGATCTAATTCAAGTGAAGAACATTAATGATGAAGAAATAAAAATGCTTTTATCAGAAGAAAATATCTAAAATAAGTGGATGAGATATTCTGATGAGCTTTTAATGAAAATTGAGAATAAAATTGATTTTAGTGACCTTAGACCACAAATAAAAACAGATATTTTTATTTTATCATCGTATAAATAAAACTAAAGTTAGAGATGAATTAAGGAAAATGAAGTTTGAGAAAATAGTTGGACCTGATGATTTTCCAATAGAGGTGTGGAAATGCCGAGGAGATCAAACAATTTCTTGGCTTACTAAACTTTTAAAATTATTTTGAAGACTAAAAATATATTAGATGAGCAAATGAGTGTGCTAATTCTTATTTTTAAGAGAAAAAGTGATGCACAATAGCGAGCGAATTATAAAGGAGTTAAGTTTATGGGAGAGAGTAATTGAGTATACGATACAATATAATACTCATGTTTCTCAAAATCAATTTGGATTCATGTAGGAAAGGTCTACTATGAAAGCTATATATTTATTAACAGGTTTAAAGAAGTATAGAGAGAATAAGGAGGATTTATATATGATATTTAATGATATAGAGAAAGCATATGATAAAGTTTCAAGAGAAGTGCTCTGAAGAGTTCTAGAAAAGAAAGAAGTAAATAATGCTTATATTCAAGTCATAAAAGATATCTATGCAGGAGCTGTTACTGATGTTCAAACACAAGGTGATTTGACCAAGTATTTTCCTATTTCAGTTGGATTACATTAAGGATCAGCTTTAAGCCTATATCTTTTTGCTTTAGTCATGAAGGTTCTTACTAGACATTTGCAAGATGATGTATCATAATGTATATTTTTTTAATGATATTCTTCTTGTTGATAAGCCTAGAAAGGTAGTTGAAAGAAAATTTGAATTATTGAGGTCAACCTTATAGTCTAAAGGTTTTTGTGTAAGTAGATGTAAAACTGAATACATTGAGTACTGTAATTTTAATAGTGATAGATCTAGTGGGGGATTGTGACTTTGGGTGATCAAGTCATTAAAAAGAGTACATATTTTAGATATCTCGGGTCTATAGTTCAAAGTGGTGGTGAAATAGATAGGAATATTATCAAAAGAATTCATATTGGATGGTTGAAGTAGAGGAATGAATTGGGCCTACTATGTGATAGAAAAGTACCCCTCAAACTCAAGAAAAAATTCTACGAGATGGTGGTAAAACATGCAATATTTTATGGCACAAAATGTTGGCCATTAAAAGAAAAGCAAAAAATTAAGTTAAGTGTTACAGAGATGAGGATGCTCAAATGGATGAGTGGCTTTATTTTTAGAGATATAATATGAAATGAGTATATACGTGAAAAGTTTGGAGTAGTTCCAGTGGCAGATAAGATTAGAGAGAGTCGCCGAGGATGCTCAGATGGATGAGTGGCTTTATTTTTAGAGATATAATATGAAATGAGTATATACGTGAAAAGTTTGGAGTAGTTCCAATGGCAGATAAGATTAGAGAGAGTCGCCTTAGAGGGTTTGGTCACATAAAACATTGGCCTTCCGATGATCCGGTTAGGAGAGTAGATGCGTTAGATCTGGCCTACGTTAAGAAAGATAGAGGTAGACCTAAAAAGACTTGGTTAGAAAGTATTAGAAATTATATTTTTTAATAGATTTAAATGAAAATTTGACTCTTAATAGGACATAATGAAGAAAAAAGGATTCATGTAGCCGATCCCATGTAGTAGGATAAAGATTTAATGTTGTTGTTGTTGTATGAGAGAGCATAACCTGTAAAGGTAAAATAAGTGAGAAAAAAAACACACAAATATTGCACTACAAGATCGATGAAAGGCAATGAAAAAAAGGGTTGAAAAGCTTAAATAAGCTGTAGATTCATGCATATTTGAGATTTCATTTCGTTTCCCCAACTTTCCTTCAATCTAAACAAAGCCTAAGTGATGAGGCACAGCACCTGTACAAATACTTGGGCTTTACCTTGTAATGTTGTGTTGTTTCATCACTGTGGTGTACTCTTTTGGTAGGAAATAACATCATAGTTATTCTTACAGATATACAAAAGCCATACTCAGCAAGTGTGTGTTGCCTATATAATCATGATGCCATGGAGGAGGTGCACGTGCAACATAGCCATTTCATAACATGTTTTCCACGAAAATAAAAAGTATAATACATCAGGCTTTTTTAAAATCAAAGCTGCTGAAAAAATAAAACCAAACAAGGTCATAAATTTTGAGAAAATGTCTCAAACCTTAAAGAAATAATAAAAGAGGAAAAACTGTACCATGGAAAGTCCAGATTGTAATTATGCTTGCTCATGGCAACAGTTCCGCATTTTTTTGCCTGGTCCCCAGGGTAACACTAGGTTCAGATAGCAATCTCCGGGAGAGGCATTTTCCAGAAGTTCCATGAATTGAAATCCTCCTATGGACAGTTCGTAAGAGGCAAATTTTATAATTTGAGTAACAAAATCTTTTGGAAGTATCAAACTATGAGAATAACTGTCAACCACCCTTACATTTATTCAAGGGAAGCTTGTGAAAGAAAGCTCTTTTAAAAGAAAAAGACAAATCCAGTTCGTGATAAAATATAGGTTATAGGTTCAACCTGTTCCCTAGAGGACATTGGAGGAAACATGCCATTTACAAGAGCATGAAGTGAAGTATATGATTTTGTATCAACTCTGCGGTTCACTGCGACTTCACCCTGACCATCCAACAAATAAAAAGGAATGGGGGCATGGAATGAGACCAAGAGTAGAAACATGGATGTTTTAGTGATAGTTCAATTGGTGCAATTCAGAGTTGGACTTCATAATCACACCTTGGGATTAATGATGAAGATCTTTCCCCGAGGAATACCAACTTTAAGATAGCTAACCTCATCAGTATCTCTATTGCCAAAACCAGCATAGAATGGGTTGCAGTCTATAGGAAATAATGCCTTGATAGCCTGAAACATATAGAAAATCTGTTCAAGCTACTTAATCCATAAAGCTCTAGTCAATGTAAGAGAAGATAAGGGAGACAACTTTACATGAAGAACCAAATAGAATATGTAGAGAATTTCAGTAAATCATGAGCAGTTGAAGGTAAAACAGCTAGTCACAAAGACAAGAATTAAACTACTAAGCGACCCCATTGTTAAAAGAGATGGAGAGATTCTCATAGCTATATAAACAAGCCATGAATTTAGGGGCTCATGAAGCCATTCTTATTTTAGGTCACTTCATGAAGCAATTCTTATCAAAGGAGGAGTTGAAAGACTCTTAGTTCCTAGAGCTATAATACCACAAATCTTTTCTAAGATGCACCAAATGAACATCTCATGTCATCCTATAAATTTAAATACCATCAAAATAAATAACAATGAATTTTCCAGCAAAAAGTCAAAAGCCATGATTAATTATACTCATAAAAATATTCGGCGTGTTGGTTAATTCAAAAGACCACTAACCATTCATAAAATTTTAGTCTTAAAAGCAGTTTTTAGTGTCATTTTCTCTCACTCTCAGTTATTGATATCTATTTTTCAAATCAATCTTATAAAATATCATAACAACATTCATTGTATCTGGCATATCATCCAAATAAAATATAAAAATCTATATTAAATGGGGATGATAACTTTACTATCTACACACATGCACTAACTCTCATTTTTTAAAGTGTAAACAAAGCTAAGACAACACACTTACTCATTCTCTTTCTATAAATCCATTTTAAGCAAATGATCAACTTGTATCTTAAGATTGACATATTCATATGCATTCATCTTATAATGAGAAAATTAAACAATGATGATTCATGTAATAAATTAATAGCATGCATATCCTTAAGTGCTGATAATTCATTAGAAAGATCAACAAGAAAACTATCTTAAAAAGCATACAAGACTTATTTGCCATAATCACGTAAAATCACAATCTCATGCATGACATTGTTCAATCCAATATCTATGAAGGCATAAATCACACTATTCTGCCTATTATATTTCTCATGTACATGTTGGTTCAAAATATGCATAAACTTGCACCGCATTGGGAGCACTATGCAAAAACTTGCACCGCATTGGGAGCACTAAATTATTTTGTAGACTCTAGTGTAGGTTTCAGAACTACCTCATTAGTATTGAAAACATTAGTATTAGACTTTCTAAAATGAGTAACATCAAGATCAAATAAAGTAAGTCTAACCAAAAATATTGTGAGCAACATCCATTGACAACACATTATATCAAATCTCATAAGTATAAATAGATAAACTAAATTGGAAATAAACAACTTTGGAACATAGAAATAGTAGTTTTATTTTCTAGACTGTCTTATATGCTTGTGGATGTAATTTTTCTTTTATCAAGGATAACGTTAGACTAGTTCTTACTAAACAGGTCCAACCGGCCCCTTACTATGGGCCGGCCCAAGTCTATAGGAGGCGGACCAAGCAGGTTTGCCCCCTAGGAATTGCTGCCCAAGGGTTTTGTGGACCCCACTAGATAATCCATTAAGGAAGGAGGGGGCGGCTAGGGTTGGAGAAAAATTTTGACTTGTGTGTTTGAATTCATGATTTAAATAGGATGAGATGTTGACCCTAATACTAGTGTCGGGTCGAGTCGACCACGCGAGATGAGTTCGAAAAGTGAAAGAGCTCGAAATCGCGCAAAATCTCACCCGACGCGTGTCGACCCGAAAACCCAAAATCGTCGAGACGACCTCCGTTTGCGAAACGGACAGCGCCGATGTGTCCGGAGCAACAGAAACAGCTAAGATCGACACCCATATTGGTGGGGGTCGCCGGTCGGCGAAAAATTAAATTTTGGGCG